CATCCAACAACACCACAGTTCCAATTAGGGCTTTAGGGTTTAGGGTTCAGGAGTTTAGGGTTTAGGGTTCAGGGTTTAGGGTTTAGGGTTTAGGGTTTAGGGTTTAGGGTTTAGGGTTTAGGGCATTCAAGTCCCGCAGTTGTAGAGCATGGAGTGCGGATTTGTTGGTGGCGTCATTCTGGATTCTTCCGCCCTGGGCTTAGCGTTGAGTGGCTAGGATTCCCCTACACCCTGAACCGTAGAACCCTTATAGATACACTGCTAGATTACACCTCATGAGATGCCGAGAGTGAGCTTGAGGCTTGGCATATGCTGATGGTCTGCAGGCCGACCCACATGCTGTATTTAGGGCTAAAATCTGGGGTTTAGGGTGCTGGGTTTTGGGTTTAAGGTTTGAGGCTTAGGGTTCGGAATGTAGGGTTCGGGGCGTCTGGGTTTAAGGCTTAGGGTCTCAGTTTTGGGCTGCTTCAAGGCTGAGTGGATAGCGGTTCTGTTTGGGACTTGGCTAGGACCTTACTCCCTTAACTTTTCGGTTGTTTTCCTTAGGGTTCTTCTTTTCGGCTTTCGTAGTCTATTTTTGAAAGGTTCCTCTTCATCGCTAAGCCCGACGGGCTTCGCAGCTAAAGGGCTCAAGAAACATTGATGAGCTCTTGACTTCCAAAAGTCTGAATTCCTGTGTACTTAGTACCCTCATGCCCTTTTATTTTGGGGTGTCCTTACAAAAGCCGAATATCAAGAAGAAGGATACCCTTATTATTAAAGGGCTACTGGGGAACCTAGTACAAATGCCGCACCGCCGGATCCCGGATCATCTCTGCATCAGGAACATTCCGAAGGTGCTAAACTCTATACCCTAGACCTCTAAACCCTACACCCCCTAAACCCTAAACCCTAAGCCCTAAACCCTGAACCCTAAACCCTAAACCCTAAACCCCAAACCTCGTGAACTCTAAATCCTGAACCAAAGGGTCGGACAGTACAAGCCGTCAGAGACGGCATAGACCCTGGATTCGGTAGCAAGCTTGGTGACTGTATGAGGGCTTGGTCATTGAAGTCTAGGGATTTAGGGGTTTAGGATTTGAGGGGTTTGGGCTTTAGGCGTTTAGGGGTTTAGGGGTTTAGGGGTTGAGGGGATTAGGGGTTTAGGCTTTAGGGGTTTAGTGGTTTAGGGGTTTAGGGGTTAGGGGTGGGGTTTAGGATTTGATGGGTTACGGGGTTTAGAGTTTAGAGTTGAGGGGTTTAGGGGTTTAGGGGTGTAGGAGCTTGGGGCTTTGGGGTTTAGGGGTTTAGGGGTTTAGGGGTTGTGGGGTTGTGGGGTTTGGGGGTTTAGGGGTTTAGGGCTTAGGCTTCAGGGATTGCAGGGATTTTTTGCTGCGGGATTGTAATTTACAAGGGTTTAGATAGAAGGCTTTGGGGCATAAGAACTCATATACCCTCAGCATCAAAATAGCCCCAAAGCCTTGTATAATAGGGTCTTTTGGGCCCAAAAGCCTTGAAGGGTAAAGGATAGGGTATTGTAAGGGCAGTGTAGGGCTTATGACGGTTCGGAAGAGCTTGGGGTATAAGGGGGGCTTATGTAAAGGGGTTGAGGGCTTAAGGATTTAACGGTTTAGGGTTTCGGGTTTAGGGTTGAGGGCTTAGGGATTTTAATGTAGGGGCCTCAAGAATGAGAATACGGTCTTGGGGGGTTTCCTTATTATACTTATAGTATAAAATACTCCCCCCCCAAACCCTATTCTAATCGATTAAGGCCCCTACATTAGAGGGTTCCAGCTTGAGGGCAAGGTTCTTCCGGAGTGTAGAGGGCAGCTGAGGCACCGAACAGCGAAAGAACACTTCACACTCCTAGCCCTTGCGGTTTAGGCTTTAGGGTTTAGGGTTTTTAGGGTTTAGGGTTTTTAGGGTTTAGGATTTTAGGGCTTATAGGGTTTAGGGTCTAGGGTTTTAGGGTTTAGGGTTTTAGGGTTTAGGGTTTAGGGTTTTAGGGTCTATAGGGCTTATAGGGTTTAGGGTTTTAGTTTAGTGAGGATCTAGAAAGTAGAACCCAAGATGCTACTGAAGGGTGCTTTATCATAGGAAGCTTAGGAACACTTGAAGGGATCTGTTTTCTAGATCCTCCCGGAGGTCTGGCTACACAGACCCAAGAACCAGCCCCGGAACATGACACTTAAACCCTAAACCCCAAAACCCGAAAACCCCAAATGCCAAAAAACAAACCCAAAACCCTAAGCCTAAAACCCTAGACCCAAATCGCAAAGTCATAAAGAGCTGGAATCCTGAAGCATCAAAGTCTCCGGTTTAGGGTTTGAGGTTTAGGGTTTAGGGCCAAATGGCTCAAAAAAGCCGTACGTTCTCCATCCTACCTGGGCTTTGGGCTTTCGGAACTACCAGGGATTCCTTTCAAGGGGTTCCTATAAGTTTAGGGTCTAGGTTTGGGAAGCTCAGTCAGGGTTTAGGGTGTACCTGGACCGGCAAGCATGTAGAACAATCGCCTTTTAGAGATGTTGAGCCAGTATTTTACCTACTTTGGGCATTTAGATAAGCCCCATATCCACATGCTCGCATTCAGCAGGGGACGCTTAAAGGAACCCTTCAGGGGAATCTCATATGACTCAAAAAAATAAAGACCACACCAGGAGATAAACCCTATAAGAACCCTCAGCCATAAATCTCATGCCCCTACCCCAAAATCCTGGGCACAATGAGCTCGGTTTAGGGTTTAGGGTTTAAGTTTAAAGGTTATGTGTTTACTAATCCCGAACAGGAACGTTTTACAGATTAGGGTTCTTCTCGATGAGGGTCCTTCCAGGATCGCTTTTGGTGCCGCCTTCGTTTGGGTTCCTAAGAAGGGACCCTGGTTTAGAGAACTACCCCAAAACCCAAAGCCACAAACCCCAAAACACTGAAAACCGAAAACCTTAACCCTAAACCCTAAACCCCAAAACACTAAAAACCTAAAACCCTAAACCCTAAACCATAAACCCAAAAGCACTGAAAACCTAAAACCCTAAACCATAAACCCCAAAACACTGAAAACCTAAAACCCTAAACCCTAAACCATAAACCCCAAAACACTGAAAACCTAAAACCCTAAACCCTAAACCATAAACCCCAAAGCACTGAAAACCTAAAACCCTAAACCCTAAACCATAAACCCCAAAACACTGAAAAAATAAAACCCCAAAGCACTGAAAACCTAAAACCCTAAACCCTAAACCATAAACCCAAAACACTGAAAGCCTAAAACCCTAAACCCTAAACCATAAACCCCAAAGCACTGAACACCTAAAACACTAAACCCTAAACCATAAACCCCAAAACACTAAAAACCTAAAACCCTAAACACCTAAACCCTAAACCCCAAAACACTAAAAACCTAAAACCCTAAACCCTAAACCCTAAACCCCAAAGCACTAAAACCTAAACCCTAAACCCTAAACCCTAAACCCTAAACACCTGAACACCTAAAACCCTAAAACCCAGGAAATGCGATCGCCTGGCTGCAGTCGAGTACCACCGTCATCGGCGTGCTGGGGCCGGTCCTTCCGGTTGGAGGCTTTTTGGCGCTTAGGGTTAGGGTTTAGGGTTCAGGGTTTAGGGTTTAGGGTTTAGGGTTTAGGGTTTAGGGTTTAGGGTTAGGGTTTAGGGTTTAGGGTTTAGGGTTTAGGGTTTAGGGTTTACCTGGGGAACCATAGTTGTGCACTTTTCTTGAAACTCGCCACTGGTGGCGAACATTATGTCGGTGGCCTAAACCTCTCTTCCTAGCAATCAGCAGAATGCACATGAACCGACCTTTTTCACTCCCACACTTTGGCAAGTGCAACCTTGTACAGGTACAAGGTTCTCTCGGGAACGAACCTGGGGTTCACAGCCCTCGCAAGCGTGGCAACCCGATTTATGAAATCCTCGCTCATCTGACATGAATAGGCGAGAGGGTTGAGGGGCAATCGGTCGGAAGTGAGGTCCAGCCTCAATTGATAGATCACGTGCATCAACATGTGATACTTCGGTGTAAGTTTGAATCTTGGCAAGGATCGCGAATGTGCCATTGCTGCAATGCGAGTGTACAAGGTAAGCATCTGCATCCCCAGCTGCACAACCTTTGTAAGTCGTCGTCTGTCGAGAAACAAGCCGGCCTTGTACAAAGAGCTCAAGAACCCATCTGAAGCTTGCAGGCACTCCAGAATTGTTCGGAGATACTCAAGGTCGTGGCCCACAGGGGCATCGGATTCCAATACACTCTCGAACTTGAAGACGAGAAACTTTAGGACGAATGATGTGTCGGCCCCTTTAAACCATAGCCTCGGCACAACAAGGAAAGCGAGGAAGCACAAGGTATTTGTTATAGAAGACAAACTTGTTTTGACGGAAAACATGCGAAGAAGTCGAGGCACCCAACAGGGAAGTCTGCTGATGAGTGGACCCCCAAGATCCCCTTCGCAGTCAAAGCATTCATGTGCAAATAAAGTTTTCGATCAGCAGAAAATGCTTTCATCTCCTGAAACAAATGATCCATGTTCTTGTCGAGACCTTTGGCAGACGATCCAGTCAGATTGAAATCCCAGAGACTAACCTCGGCTTATGAAGTGTATTGATCAGGTATGAGGGAGAATTAAGGCATTTAGATAGGGTTTAGGGTCGGCTAAAGAAAACATACTATGCGACAGGGGCTCCAGCCCAGAACCAGCAAGTTCGGCATGGACTCCTTTATGACAAGTGTGGAAGAGATCCACCAAAAAGAAACCTGGTTTGTCTTCCACTGCCATGGGTATCTTCGCTGTGAGCCCAGACTCCTGTCTCGGATTCCAAGGAATAGTAGCTGTGTCCATGCTTCGAATCCAGGGAGCAGTATCAAAGTCGCATTCGTGCCATGTAGGACATTGCCTTGTATTCGCCATACACAGATGACAGAGTCCATCCTTGAAGGGGTAGGCTTCTCGCCGAAAGTGCCTCAGCAAACGTCCTAATTTATCTAGGGCTGGCCAGTCAGCCTTCAAGCCCATAACGGCGACTCGCCATGTCTGCGTGGATCCGCCGCTGCGGGTTTCCAGGCCATCGTAGAAGAGTCTCGCGAAGTCTTCTGCCCAGACATTTATAAGGTTGTGAAGGGGCTTGTCATTCTTGGCGTACAAGTACTTTGGCATGCATGCGAACAGCTGCCTGGTAAGCAGTGTGTTTCCAACAAAGTTCATTTTCATCTTGTCCTTTGCCGTTCGGGAATCTTGTGCATCACAGCCTTCTCCCAACATGGATTCTGACCCCAGCACGAAAACAGCCGACTTCTTGTAGCCCCTGCCTTCATCCCCTATAAGGTAGAGTGGAATCGTAAATGCCCTTGCACTTGGAGGCAAAGCGAAGATGGGATGCTTTGGTTTGAGCGGCTGCATCTTGTCCCAGAAAGTTTGAAGATCAACATCTCGTGTAAGCACATTCATTTTATTCTCATCAGCTAGCACCCGAAGATAATCAGAAAAAAGAATACACGGAAAAAGATTCTCCAAGCCAATGTCAACTCCGGTAACTTGTACCGGTGCCTGGCTCTCTGGCATTGCATCTAAAGCCTGTCGAGTCTTCTGTGCTGCATGACCGGTGCTGTGCCCATGACTCATCTTGTGGAGAAGCTTGTAAGACTTAAGCTTCGTGGCAGCTTCCTCCCCAAAGGATTCGTTGATCTCGTTCTCTACGGCATGTGCCACCCGGCCAAGCAAGTCATGCGATACCTTACAACAAAGAATAAGCAACACTCCTCTTCAAAACCCTTAAGCAGTGCAACCCTACCCATATTAGGTTATATAGGTATTCATAGAACCTTAAGCTCCATCTTATGTGTATGGGTACAAACGAAAACCCATAGCCCAGACACACCTTTCGTAAGCGCTTCGGTCAGAGCCTTTGCTATAGCTCCAGCTTGTGGTCCAGAGCTCGCAGTAGATGCCACCGAAGCCGAGGATTTGATGCTGTCCAGGGATCGCAGAGATAAAGTACCTGCGGGGTTTTATATCATATGTCGGAACAGAAATGTCTAGCATGGTACAAAGGATGCTCAAGGACCTTTTGTTCGGCTCTGCTCGCACGACCCTTCCCCGAAGTCGCACATGAAGTGCTCCCGTTTCTTGTGGGACAAGGGCTCCTGCCTAGATCTAGAACAGTGCCAATCTACAGTCGATGACATGGCCTCGAAGTGTTCATAGGCTAGACTAGCCGGGTTCATTCTTTTTAAGTAGATTTACCGACCACTGTATGCCCTTGACCCACACTAGAGCTCCAAGAAGGTTCACTTCTTGGACTTCGACTTGGCCTTTGCCTTTGGGGTCTTAGGGGCCTTTGCGGCTTCAGCGGCGTCAGGATCGGTGGCCTTCGGCTTTGCACCCTTGGGGGGCTTCTCCGGCTTCGCACGGGAAAGCACAGTCCTGATCATGCATGTGTTGCAGGCACAACCGGCAGAGGGTCACAATTGTTGCTGCATGTAGCTGCTGATTTGAAGCAAGTGACTTCTTGATTTTATTCTCCTCCATAGTCATACGACTCGACCTGCAGGAAAAATCTTCGGACCATGATTGCGGTGCAGAGGACAGGCATTGCTGGCCGAGATGCAGCTTGTTGACCTTGTTCATCAGCAGAGTCAGCTTCCTGAAGGAAATAGGCTTGGGCATTGTGGGGTTTAAGGGTTAATTAGGGTTTGGGTTGCTGTAGATAGGGTAGATAGTTTCATGCTGTCCAGCATCTGTGCATCAATGTTCTCCTCGCAGTCGCAGGCAGACTTTATGTCGGCCAGTTCATCATGTAGCCCACATAGTTCTTTGATCTGCTTCTGCAGCAAATTCGCTTCCCTGGATGCACGAACATCATGCAGCCAGAACCCAACAAACCTCTGCCCCAGTCCAGTTTATTTCGGCCACGAGGCTCCTTTGCACCAGCCTGATTGCACCGTTCCAGGAGCTTCGTGGATCGGCCGGAGAGATTCAGGATCTCGTCAAGGAGGGCCGGGATCCCTTCGATGTCCTGAGTGGTTCGATTTGGGATTCTGGGTTTAAGGCTTTAGGGTGTATTATAATGGGGCTTACAATGGGCCTTAGGGCGTGCTTGTAAAGTTCACCTAGTCTAGGTTTATATTTGAGAACTAGGATCACTATAAGGGTTACACAATTATTGAGTGTTACTGAAAACCCTGGCCTCGTTCACGTCATCCAAAGCCTCCTTGGTCTTTTTTTTTCTTAGCTTAGCCGAGGGCTTGCCCTCCTCAGGATCGTCATCCTTTTCATCTTCATCCTCATCCTCAGCCTCAACATCATCTTCATCATCGGAGTTGAGGTTGGGCAAGCTAGCCCCCAACCCCAGAGCCACAGCACCGACAGGAGCCCCAGCTTCACCCAGCCTCGTGTCTCGTCTGAGCTCCTCCTCGTCCTTGTCGGACCGAACACCTTCATAAGCAACATCACAATAATACCAAATCAGCTTCTTCTCGTACTTGTCCTTCCTGACAGAGGCTTTTGGTTTGGGGATAACAACATGACTGCACTTGGGGATGCGTGCCTGGTGTGGGTCTTCTTGTTCTCCTTCTTCATGCAGTATTTTCTGATAGCCCGGCGTCTCTCCCTTGGTTGGATTGAGCAGCACTAATGTACATGTAAGCATTTCCAAGTACATGTGCACAGACACACAGACACACACACATGAACACATGCATACATACACCAAATCAAGCATACATGCATACATGCATGCATACATACATACATAACATACCATGCATCCGAGGAAATGAATACATGCAATCCAGTGCCTCAGTTGCATGTATTAAATTACGATCAAACACACACACACACACATATATATATACATACATACACACAAACATACATACAAACATACAAACATACGAACATACATACATACATACATACATACATACATACATACATACATGCATACATACTATTTATACATGTGCGTACATAAGTTTAGGGTTTAGGGCTATTGTTTAGGGTTGGGTGTAGGGTTTAGGGTTTCGGGTTCACATACACAGTCCCCTTCACATGTACGACCCATCCCTGTAACAGAAGAGTGTCGTGCTAGACGAAAAAGAACTGCAGCAAAGGAGCTTGGAGAATTTCAGGTCGTCTTTCATCATCTGGTCAGTGTAAAACCCTGACTTCGTTTTGAACTCCTGGGACCTGGTCTGCTTGTAGCTGTGGTTGACCGTCTGCGTGAACAGCTCCTGTCTGGAATCGAAAAACATGAAAGTACCAGGCTCATGACTCCCATGACATGCAACAGTCCTTCTGGCCGTCACACTGCAAGAGAACTTTGCGAAGTTCTCGCCTAGACGAGCCGCCCTTTTTCCACATCCTGTGGACCTGTTCTGGGACTTGCAGGCTGCCTTTCCGATCGGGCCTGCAAGCTCGTCGCAACGTGGCTTCGAGCTTAGCCAGTGCATCTTTGGACAACGAGTCCACGGGATCTGCAGCCTCAGATTGCAGGGTTTGGGCAGCAACAAAAGTTACAGAGCCCAATTGCAACACAGACTGGACATGTGACAACACGAAGTCGAGTGGCTCGCTTGGCACCTCGCTTGGTAGCTTTCGTAGCAGGAGGTTCGGGGGCTTTTTCAGATTCATCTTCCGAAGCAGAATCGCTCTCGTCGGCACTCGGGGTCTCGGCGGGCTCCGGCTTGGTCTCCTGGCTTCATGTACCATGACAAGTTTGCTGCAGTAGCTTCATGTTCAGTAACTCGACCGGACCTTCAGTGGCGTGCCGTAGATATCCTTGTCCTTAGAAAGGATCCCGAGGATTGGGTTCTAGACAAAGCCAACATCCAAACAACGACTGCTCGATAGTAGTGCATGCCGTGCTTCAGCCGGGTTCCAGTCTTCCTCGGCAGAAGAAACCTCGATCATCTTCTTTAGTGCAAACTTCAGCATGTCGTCCCCCTCGTTCTCGGACTCGGACTGAGGTGCTGCAAGAGTCAAGACAGCTGCTGCGGGGGAAGGCGGGGCGGCAGCTTCATCAAAAGTCATCAGCAGGGACTTTCGTGGTGTCGACTTTTCCAGTGTTGTTCCTGCGACCTTTGGGCTTTGTAGCTTGTTTGCAGACTTGCGGGTTGAAGCTTTGGGGCTCGGCTTGGGGGTCTTGGGTTTGGTAGAAGACTCGGGCGGGGGTGTCGAAGCCTTGGGTGCCGAAGCCTGTGGTGTCGAAGCCTTTGGTGCCGAAGCCTGTGGTGTCGAAGCCTTTGGGGTCGAAGCCTTTGGTGGCGAAGCTTTGGGTGTCGGCTTTGGTGTCGAAGGCTTTGGTGTTGCAGCCTTGGGCGGGGCTGTTGAAGCCTCGGGTGTCCCAGGCTTGGGCTTGGGGGTCAAAGCCTTGGCCTTGGGGGTCCCAGGTTCGGGGCTCAAAGACTTGGGCGGGGGTCTGGGGGGCTTAGGGTCCGAAGCCTCCTCTCCCCAAGCATCCTGGGCATCTTCCCCATTGTCAACCACTCGCTGTAGGCCTGAAGACGATGCCCCACCAGTAAGCCGGGGGCTCTTAGGCACGACAGGCTTTCGGGTAGAAGGCTTCGGGCGAGGCTTCTCCGGTGTCCCCTTTTCCTTCCCTAGATCATCAGCCCCAAGTTCAGAAGCTGGCTTTGTTCCTTTGGACCTCTTCCTTCGAAGTCGGGGCTTCTTGCTGGGAGGCTCTTCGACCTCCTCGACTGAAGAAGCTGCTGGCGTCAGCTGCTCCTGGGCACGACGATCCTCCAGGGACTTGAGAAGTTGTCTTGCCTCCTGCAGGTAGCATCAGGGATGAAGTGATGGGTGATTGACTGTTTGGACGAGTCTATAGATGCAACCCTTCAACACAACATGTCCTCAAGTTGTTCTTCGATAGACTTCGGTTCCTCCTTGACAGCCTGTGGTGCTGCTTTGGCCTTTGGCTTCCTTTTCGCCATCGGGGGCCCGAGGGCTACTCTTAAAAAAGATCAATGATCCTTTCGGTGAACAACAGGATGCAGGAGTGCATGTGGTAGCTTTGGCAGTGATGCGAACGACTTGGTGTGTTCAACACTGACAAAAAACAGGCACTGGCGGCGACCTACGGTTTTCTGCGCCACACCTACGGCAATCTGCGCCACTCCTACGGTGATCTGCGCCACCGGCTGCCTCTACAGTTTTATGTATTTTTAAGCAAAAACATTACCGAACCCAAGCAAAACTATCCCTATTACACTCCTATTATATATAACATCTGCAGTACCCAAGCACAACTATATCCCTAAACCACTGTAGAGACAGCAGCCCGGCCCGTCAACCCGGCATAGTCATGCTCAGCCATGAGCGATCTCCTCAAGGTGCAGGAGCTTCTTATTTAAGCTATTATCTATATAGCATCAGGTTGAGGTAGGGAAGATTGGGTTGCTATAATTGTTGTTAGACTTGGGTTTCGTTTCGGTATCTGGGCTTCTACGTGTATATCCTTAGCTTGGGTTTCGGGTTTCGGATCGACAGGATAAGGCCTCCTAATGATAGGGAGTCCCGAGGCCCTGTGTTGGCGACACCATCAAAGTTGGGAAAGGTTCCGAATTCTGGTTTGGGGCTGCGATTTGGCGATTTTCGCAAAACGGGCGTATACGTAGTTTCGGGTGTCTGAGGTTTTATTAACCTTCGGGTTTGGGTTTCGGTTCGGGGCTATGAGGATGTGTCTTTACCATTTTTTCTAGGATTCAGGTTTAGGCTATATAGGTGTTCTCGATCGGGCTTATAGGGTTTTGTGTTCGGTGGTTTGGATTAGTGCTTTGGGCCTTAACTTTGTGGTTGCGATTTTGTATTTCTTGTGCTACCTGAACCCAGCTTAAGTTCTACATACAGTATTACGACTATCCCTGAATACCCAAACCTGAGCCCCATGTGTATGTACACAAACCGACACATACCTAAACTGCACATATAAGCTGGGCCCCTCACCTGTTTAGGGTTTATACTTTCTACAGTTGGAGGGTCCTTGGAAAACCAGGCACCTGGTCTCCAGCATCTCTGGAACGTGCCCTTCTGGAACATCCTGCAATACACTCTGGCCACTGTATTTTGTCGCCTCGGATGCATGCAAAGGGAAGCTCTGCAGCAATGGTTCTAGTAAGATCTGTCGATTGCAATCAAGCGACTTCTTCTTGTGGGCGTAGACGGAAGATGTCTTTCTCGCCAGACGAGCAGGATGATATACAAAAATAGCTCCGGAGTTCGAACACAGCCGGTGTTTCCTTAAGTGGACTCGGCCCTGGACCCAGAAGTTGACCCGAAAGACTCTGGCCCGGGAGGTCAAGTTTACCCATCGTGGATGCTGCTGCAGGAGGCCCGACCGGGGAAGCTCAGCCGTCCAAGTGCACCCCAGGGCCTGCACCACCATCAATGCCAGGGCTAGCCTCAGATAAGGATTGTTCAAGGGAAAGCATAGATTCAGATAATATAGGCGATAGACAATAGTGCTGATGAGCTGCTTGTCGGCCATGTCATACCCGTCAATAGATCTTGCGTGCACAATGCTGCCCGGCTTTAGCTTCAGGATGGTAGCCAACATAAACCTCAGTTGTCGACACAAAGCTACTATGGTAACACTGCACTCGGGCTCTCCAACTCAGTGCAAGCCATGACACATAAAGTTCAGGGAGCCTGGCCCCCATCGAGCAGAAGCCACTGCTAATCCCCGGGCCTTCATCGTGGTGCTCACCATTGTATGGTGAACAAAGAATTCCAGAGCATCAAACTCCTGCACACGAGCGACGAAGCATAGCTACAGAACACGATCAGGGAAACACTCTAGAATGAGTTGACACATCAAGCGGGCCCATCCCACCTGAGATAAATCAAGGTGCATATTCATCACAATGTCCAGTACCACAAGGAGTATCTCAGGCAACAGGTGTGAGGCTGCTACAATAACAACTGCCAGGCTAAGCCCCATGTAATGAATAGATCATGCAAGCTAGGGTCAGTTGGTGCTCCATTCTCTGTCAGGATCTGAAGAATGGTGTGTCGCCGCAGTTCGTCAACTGCCATGGCGATCGGCAGCTATAGGCTCTCGAGAGATCCGAGCTTAAGCTGCAATGGACACACAAGGTGAAGGCAGCACACATGAGTCGATGCATGCACACTGCTGGGGCTCACTCTTTGCTTTCATCCCTCAGAGAGCTATTTACTATACAACTATATAAGAATGCCACGAGCAAGGCCAAACCTCTTAAATCTACTAATCGACACTGATGGAAAGGCAAGCCTCCAGCTCTACAAGACCCGCCAGAACCCTAAGCCCCATAATAACATTCAGTGCACCCGAACTACTTTAAATTCCAAGAATACATGAAAGCTAAACTATGACAAGCCTCAAACCCTTTAACCCAGACTCCTTAACTATATCAGCCGAGCCAACTTTCCTAAGTCATATGAATTTAAAGGCAGAACCCAAAGCCTACAAACCCAAACTCTAGAGTAGAATGCACATGCACCCACCACCCATGCGGCGGGCACGTTTCGGCCTCCCCTTCAAGAACTTCACCATGTTGCCCAGCCTGCAACAGACAATCCACAGCTAGCTTCGTTATACATATGCTAGGACAACTGCAGAAAAGGACTGCAAACATCGGCGTTTTTTGGCGGTCAGGCTGCACAATGATCAGCACTGGCAGCTCGGCCACAGCTACACCCGTCGTCTTTTCTAAGACATCAATTGAAGCCATGCGAGTTGCACCGTTCTGCGGGGAGTGGCATCGGAGCTTCTGAGTGGTTTGGGGGTTTATAGGCTTCTCGAATTTGTACTACAGTATTGCAGTAGAATAACCCTTTGCATCGGAGTTTCTGAAAAAGGCTTATGGGTTTAGGGTTTATCGGATTTGTAGTAGACTTGAATCTAGTCTGAGAAGAATCGCTACGTCTAGATTCCACTCCAAGCTAAAGACAGGGCTGCCAGCATCCAATGCAGAGTCTATGATGCAATCGCATAAGCACCCCAGGCTGCACCAGAATCGGCGGCTCGTGCTCCGGCAACTTGTGCGGAGCTCAAATCAAATCGCATCGGGCGACGACTGAGAGATGAAAGTCCACATCATTCTGTAGATTGCACAAAGTCATACCCGGTGCGGACCCAGAGATCTGTGCTTCGGCTGTGACAACAACCAAAACACTCCCTTATAGAAGTGATTGAACATGTATCCCGAAGTGAGCCCTTGAAACATGCAGAGCACAGCTCTCAAACAGTTGCAGGCCTACTCTTGCCAGGCTTGTAGCTGGGATCTCGGCACCTCGAGCAGCCCCCCTTTAGCCATCGGCATTTGGAACAGCCGAAAACCTTGTCACCATCGCCACCTGCAGCTGGACCTGCACCCTTCTTATTGGCACTTGCCTTGGCACTTGCCTTGGCACTTGCCTTGGCACTTGCCTTGGCACTTGCCTTGGCCTTGGCCTCCGGCTTTTTGTTCTTCGTTGGCTCAGCAGCAGGAGTCTTGCCTTTGCCCGTTTTTTTTTTTGTTGTTGTTGTTGGCTCGGCCTTCTCCTTGATGTGATGCTTAATCACAGTTTTGGATGATCTCTCGTTTCCTTTGCCCTTGCCCCTGCCTTTGCCCTTCTTCTTTGCTGTAGCCCCCTTACCCCTTGCCTTGGCCGCCGCAATAGCAGCCTTCTTCTCACTTCTCATCGACCTCTGCATCTGGGGATCCACAACAAGACCAGCATCCTTCGAGCCAGCCGTGTCGTTTTCCTAACAGGGATGCTACTGACTTAGACAGACACCCTAAACCCTATAAGCCCTAAGCCTAGACCCTATAAACCCTACAGCCCTAGACCCTTAAATGTTATATAAGTGATATTGATACCTTCATAAACCAAACTCCTTCGGCGATGCCAAGCTTGCTCCACTGCCGTTCGGCGTGCTTTTCAAGGTGCTCGCGGGAGATGGAAGACCCATGATGTCGAGAGGCTGGGTTTCCAACTGCACAGGGATTAAGCTGCAGAGACACCATTTAAGGCATGTACAGAAAGCGACTCCGGAATAAGACCTGTGCAGTCGTGCAGAGTCCGATGCCTGGTCGGGGTCGCAGGTGCTGGGCGTAGACCGGCTCTTCTTGGCCAAGCCTTCAAGGACGAGGCCAAACAGTTGTTGGTTTGTGAAAATGGAACAACCGGGTCGAGTAGGATTAGAGAGGTTAACTGTATAATGTCATATAGGGTCCGTATATAGGTTTAGTCTTAAGATGGTTTAAGGAGAACCCTTCAGTTTAATTACACATAATCCAAGAGACTGGAAACATCAGATGCCGATGGGGATGTCGATGGACTCTTCCGTTTCCCAGACCTTATGTTGTCAGCTGCAAGCAGACGGGTCTAACATGAACAGTGACAGGCTTCGTGTAGGTGCTTCTGATTGTTTCAGGGAGTCAAATAGGCTTGATATTGTAAGGTTCGGGCGTGAGCTGCAGCTCGGCAATCTGAGCAAGAACTTTATCAAGCTCCACTTTGTCCTTAGACTTCGAAGAGCCCACGAAAAGGACTTCCTCGTCAGAGGCTTTGGTCTTCCCTGGAAGTCGCCTGACTGGCGTCTCGATGGGCCTCAGTCTCTTAAGCTGGGGAGGCTTCACCTCCACTTCTATGCAATCATCATCCTCCAGCTCTTCTTCCTCCTCTCCTTCCTCGCCTTTGACCTCCTCCTCCTCTTCCTGCTCCTCATCTGCTCGCTCTCCCTCCTCTGCTTTCTTTCTCTCATGGATCTGCTTGACACAACCTTTCAACTTTCGGGCAGGCGGTGGCAGGCTGCTTCGAAGATGCCGGATGAGCTTGAACAGCTTCTGGACTGCCTCGCCCTGGGCTTGGGGTTTCTAATTTAGGGCTTATAGGGTTTTAGGGTTTTTTAAGGTTTAGGGTTTAGGGTTTGTGGCATGCAAGCTCTCATCAAAAGCCTAATGAATCATGGCAAGTGTCGGCAGGTGTTTGCTGTCTCTTGTGGCAATCAGCTTCACGTCTCAGGGCATAGGAATACAACTTCCGAAGGCCCCAGCTGTCATTGTAGATGCGGGTGGGAGTCACATCCCATAACATGTTCTCATAGAAGGTCTCTACCTCGGGTCGAATGAAAGCAAAGTTAAAGTCATGATAAATGCGAGACTCAAACACCAGTACTGAGATAGTTCAATGTGTGCCAACAAGCTGCAGCCTTTTGAAGCAAATCGATCGACACCAAAGTAAGCTGCTGCAGGTGCTCAAACATAAGGTGCACCATCTGACAATTAAATGTCAAAGCCTGTGCACTCGGCTCACCTTCCCTCTCATCTTCCTCCTCCCAGCGAAGCCAAGGCATTCCCTTGTTTTGCCGGCCCTTGCTAAGCTTCAGGTTCTGCCAAGCTTTCGTAAGCTTTGCAAAGCGAACAGCCATGGCTGCTAAGCCTACCCGGCTACACCAAACGAAAAACCGCAGCTTTCAGTTTCGACCCAAATAAATGCACACGACACGGATGCTTTTGATGCTCATGCTCAATGATGCACCCAGCAAGCACGAGCAGTCCAAACATTCGGAATGTGCACATGCTTACCAACCCTTAAGATTAGGGTTATATGGGGGGGTCTAGGGTTTCATACATCGTATAGGGTATATATTTATATAAAATATAATTTAAAGTGTATGTAGAGTTAGCAGCACCCGAAATGAGAAACGAGGGCCTCGAAGATCAGCTCCATGGTGCATCCAGCTCGTCCGACCTGTTTGGGTGATTGGCTTGCAGTCCGAAGAAGGGAAGCTTCAGGGTCTTTCGGCTCGGCTTTCGGTTCCCCCTGCCTCCAGCTTGCATTCGAAGCCAGGGCGTGAAGTCTATGAAGTCGAGGGGTCCTGTGGATTGTTGTTTGGAGGTTTCCCTGGGTCCCGGGACAATTAAGTTACCTTAAATAGAATTGTGCCAAATCTAAGTCTCATGACAGGCCCAAACCAGGACATATTCAAGACAAACCCACGAACCCTTCAAGCAACCCCATCCTGCAACCCAAATATCCAACCCAAGAATTCAATAACCCCTGCGAAGCAAAATCCTTTCCCTCTTTGACACCCTAGCCCCACCACTCCTGCATCCACCAGTCTCCCCGGCAGGAGCAGACGACATTGCTTGCCGATGGAAATCGAAAGCTCTGCACTGCAGGGCTTTGAGGGATATAGGGTTTGGTTGCAGGGCTTTGAGGGATATAGGGCTTGGTGGGTGTATAGAGTTTTTTGTGGGGCCTTATAATTATCTTAAAGGAGCTTGAAGCTCGCGACCTCTAGGTTTTAAGATTGGAGGGATCACCTGAATTTGACCCAGGGCTATCTATAGATACCCGTGTACGGGTAAATAGGGGCTAATTGTCGGTAAGAGGTCGTACAATAGCTATCATTATGGGATATAATTATATCAAAACCTTCAATCCATTAGCCGAAAAAGGCTTTCGAGCCTGCAGTTGCAAGAACTTCCATTAGTGCCCTAAATTCTTGCGACTGCGAGTCATGACACTAGTTGCAACTTTTATGGGCAACTTTGGCGCTACAGGTAGGGTTTAGGGTTTAGGGTTTAGGGTTTAGGGTTTAGGGTTTAGGGTTTAGGGTTTAGGGTTTAGGGTTTAGGGTTTAGGGTTTAGGGTCTGTGGTCTGTAGGTTGGGGTTTAGGGTCTGTGGTCTTTAGGTTGGGGTTTAGGGTCTGTGGTCTTTAGGTTGTTGGGGTTTAGGGTTTCGGGTTTCGGGTTTAGGGGTTTAGGGGTTCGGGTTTAGGGTTTAGGGTTTAGGGTTTCGGTCTCAAAGTAGAGCCGGATTCGACCTGAATTGATAATTCAGGGACTTCGGGGAGTGTGAGCGGCTGCAGGGTCGAAGAAGCTGGCACGTGCATCGGCTTCCATGATCTCCGTTGTAACCCAATTGCGTTGCCGTGGCCGTTCCCCTGACCCTAAACCGGCCGTGGCCTAAAACCCTGAAACCCTAAACCCTTAAACCCTTCGAAAACCCTTAAACCCGTAAAGCCTCTGAAAAGGCCCTCTGAAAACCCTAAACCCTAAGCCAAAAACCCTAAAACCCTTTACCCTAAAACCCTTAAAGCCTCTGAAAGCGCCCTTTGAAAACCCTCAATGCCCCAAACCGTTTCTGCAGCTCCCCAACTGCGCCAGCGCCGCACGGATGGCCGTGGCAGCTCCACTTCCTCTCCGGCTCAGGGTTTAGGGTTTAGGGTTCAGGGTTTAGGGTTTAAGGTTTAGGGTTTAGGGTTTTTATGGTCAGCTCTCTGAGTACTGACAGGATCAGGGGACATAGTAACTATTACAGGGCTTCTTAAAACAAAGGGGCCCTTAAAGAGATCTACAAAGGTTCTTTAAGGGGGTTTACAGTAGGGCTTCGAAGATCATGGACTTAGTAAGTAGTAACTAAAGTTATAAATAAGGTAGCCATACTTAGAACTGCTTGTAACCCCAATGACTATAAGTACCTTCATAATGAAGGTACTTATAATCCTCCTTGCTATGTCCCATGATCCTCCGAGCATTCGAGATCCATTGAAAAAGGTCGCTGTGCATGGCTTTATGGTTCAACTACGGCTTATGGTTTAGGGTATAGGGATGTATAGGGTATACTTTAAGGTTTTGGGGGGGTTCGGGTGCAGTTTTCTGGCGCGATTTGCCAGCTTTTACTGGCTCCTCTAGGTGCCGCTTCCCGGTCTATGGGCTATGTTCTCAGCATCTCAGCGTCGTGCAACGGCTTTTTGATCTCGAAGTCGTAACCTAGGGGCAGTGACTAGTGATTAACTAGGGTGGCTCTGCGACAGGGAGGCCTCAGGAAGCGGAATTCTCACGATTCAGGTCTTCTTATTCCTCAAACGGCTCATGGGACTCTTCGATCAAATGGGGCCTTGCTGAATCAGGACAGGCTGGTGTGTTGCCTGCCATTTTGGCCCTGACTTGAAACAGTCAAGAGAAGACGAGAACCTGCCAAAACTGCCTCCACCTCCGGCTCTCTCGATTAATCCCGGCGAATCCGAAGGACCCTTGGGAATAAACACCCTTTAGTAGATAATGGGGCTTTATACGGGTCTAATGGGTGGTAAGAGTAGGGGTTTCTGAGAACTGATATGATAAATCCTTCGTCGCTTTTTTCTGCAGCCTGCGCGACCACTTGTGTGTCGAGATCAGATACCTTATGGCCAACCCGTGGCTGCCAGAAGCCAGTTGAAGGCAGGTTCTACCCAACTCATCCCGGGCAGCTGCGTTTGCAGCGGCCTCGAGCAGCAAACGGACAATATGCAGCTGTCCGCATCGACATGCGGTCCCAAGAGGAGTGGTGCCCGATCTGTCTGCAAACTCCGTTTTAGCCCCTGCCGCAAGAAGCAAGCGTGCGGCCCTGGGACGACCCCAGTGGCATGCTGTCGCCAGTGGAGTCATACCGAGATCATCAGGTGCATCGATGTGAGCTCTGGCCTTCAGAAGCATTCGGATGACACTGGCTCGGCCATGTTGGCAAGCGGCCCAGAGAGGAGTTTGGCCACCGAGACGTTTGGCCTCCATGTTTGCACCTTCCGCAACCAGGATCTTTGCTGCGCCGAGCTTTCCCATTGCACATGCCACGGACAAAGGAGTCTCGCCGAAAACACCGCGATGTTCGATATCCTGGGTCTCGCTTATGGGCACCAACATATATTTGTTGGGAAGCCCAACCCAAACAACGAAAAACTAAAAAGGGATCCACTTTCCGGGCCCGGTACAAACCCATTAGGAAAAAATAACCACTGACAGAACTCTGGATTGGATCATGGACCCCTTGGATTCTCTTATGCACAACCGAATCTGCTAAAAGCACCCTAAACCACTGACAGCACCCGCATCCTAAACCCTAAGCCCTAAACACCAGAAGCAGCCTAAACCCTATAGACCCCAAACGCCCTAAACCCTAGGCCACAAAAATCAAAAGCACCCCAAGCTTCAAAACCAAAAAACACCAAAGCAAAAAGCATCCCGAAAGTTGATAGCACTGTCGATGTGGTTTTGACTATGAGTAAGATGTTAATCGTGATGATGATGATGATGATGACGACCATCAATAACTACTATTATTGTTAGTTTGTATTAGTACTATTTCTGTTATTATTTTCTGTTATTACTATTCCAAGTGTAGTCTTTGTATTCTTGTAGCTATCGTTGATCTGATCAGTTATTGTTTTTGTAGACCAAGCTTCAGCTCGAGCTTCAAAGAGGAGCCGCATCGTCTCGATCCTTCCAGTAGAGGCCGCAAAAACCCGAAACCCTAAACCCTCAACCAAACTCTATGCCCTGAGCCTCTTCACCCTTTTCCCTAAACCCTATAAGCCTAAACTGTAAGCTCTCAACCCTAAACCGTGAACTCTACGCCCCAAGCCCTAAACCCTAAACTCTACGCCCTAAGCCTTAAACCCTAAGCCCTAAACTCTACGCCCTCAGCCCAAAGCCCTAAGCCCTAAACCGTAAACCCTAAACTCTACGCCCTTAGCCCTAAACCCTAAGCCCTAAACTCTACGCCCTAAGCCGAAAGCCTAAACTCTAAGCCTAAAGCCTGAATTCTAAGCCCTCAAACCCAAGCCCTAAACTTTACGCCCTTAGCCCTAAACCCTAAACCCTGAACCCTAAGCCTTAACTCCAAGCCCTCAGCCCCAAACCCTCAGATCTAAGCCTTCCCGTAGAGGCCGCTCCGTCCAGGGGGCCTCCCAAAGAGCCCGGTGCCTCTGAGGTTAGGGCTTTGAGGGTTTCGGCCTAGACTTTTTTAATTCAGGAATATATTTAGTAATCTTGAACTATATATAATTGGATACCCTTAATATATTAAATATATATATATATATTATTTATTTATTTATTTATTTAGTAACCTGGAACTATACATAGTAGGATATCCCTAATATTTTGAAATATATTTCCTCTTATTTAAACGATTTTGGAAGGTCTCCCAGGTTATAGCCAGGGCAACAGATTTAGGGGCTTAGGGCTTAGGGTTTGGGGTTTCGAGGGTCTTGAGGGTTTATGGTTTAGGGTTTAGGGTTTCGAGGGTTTTGAGGGTTTAGGCGGTTTAGGGTTTCGATGGTTTTGAGGGTTTAGGCGGTTTAGGGTTTCGAGGGCTCTGAATTTTGAAGGCTTTGGGTTTCGAGGGTTTTGGGGGTCGTGGGTTAGGGATTGATGGGGGTGTGCAGGGTGTACAAGATGTGTCGGGCTTACGGATGAGGGTTTTTTGGGCTTCCGGCACCTGGCAGTTGGGATCTTGAGGAATCTTCAGTATCCGCTCAGCTTCTGCAGCACTTCCCTCATAGCAACAACGGTGAAGTGCCACACAGTCAAGGCCAGAATCGCTGAGGTTCAGGAGCACCAGCTGCAGATCCAGAGATCCGGCGAATCTAAAATCATCATCCTTAAAGACGAAATGAACTTTAAAAGGCTTTCAGGTTCATAAGGGTATAAGGGCCGTACTTACAAGGGTCATTTGCTCCCCAAGGATCGAGGTCGGTACCTTCGTGAAGGAGCCGCTGCTGAAATCTTGGAAGGCCACAGAGGCTCTGCAGACGTCGCTTCAGGGCCTTCGCAGTGGCGATCTCCTCCACCGGCAGCGCGACCAACTCCTATACTGAACTTAGACCCCTAGCAAAAATTCAAAGTTAGCTGCTTCTTAGGGTTTAGAGTAGCCAAAGATTTAAAAAATGTTTCTAAGTACGCCTGAGCTTCTTTCCCTGATGCCGTCCACACGCGCAGCAGCTGTGACGAAGCAGCGTCTCCATCTTCGGCCATGCTTTAGGACCTCAAGTGCAGGAGTTGTACCTCCCAAAGAACCCTACCTGAATTATGGGTATGTCTCGAGTGGTTCGGGGGTCTATGATAATACAGTAGCTAGAAGCGGACTACGAGGGGCTATAGCATACGAGCCATGCAGACCCCTAAACACTGTTGTCAAAACTCTGTTGTCTGTTGCTTAGCTTCGGCAGGTGAGCCAAGAGGGCGTCGATCGCTCAAGCGTCCGCAGGCTTCGAATACCGACCCTCAACCCTAAGCCGTAAACCCTCAACCCTAAACCCTAAACCTGAAAAAACCCTAAACCCTAAACCCTCAACCCTCAACCCTAAACCTGAACAGCCCGAAACCCTACCTATAGTCTCCATTGTAGTTCCTTTTTGGAGATACCTTATAACTTCCTTAATATATAATTGGTTAAACCAAAGTAAGGAACTATAATGGAGACTATAGCTAAACACTCGCTCATGAGGGAGGGTGGGGCTCAACCAGACCTCAGGAATCCGCCAGGCCCAGCATCTGGAACTCTAAGGGTCCATGTGCCAAATAGTATATACTTTGGCCTTAAAGTTTAGGGTTTAGGGTTTAGGGTTTAGGGTTTAGGGTTTAGGGGTTTAGGGTTTAGGGTTTAGGGTTTAGGGTATTAAAGTAGTCCCTATATGGCTACTTTGGGGCCAATGTACGTATATACTATATGAGTACATGGACCCTTAGGGAAGCTACTCCGCACGCTTGCGGCTTGGAGTGCAGATGAGTTTCTCTGAGACTCACAATCTCGATGGTCTTGATGGTTTAGGGTTTAGGGGTTAGGGTTTAGGCTTTAGGGTTTAGCCCACAAACCTTCAAATAGAAGTCCTGAGAGCCATAGGGTTAAGGCTGGGATATGCATTTGAACTGCGACGCGGCATACCTAGACTCTGTTTTGAATTTAGGGACGTCTGTGCTTCTGGCTCCTTGCTATGACGTCTTCAAAGCTTGTAGAACCCTTAAACGGATAGTTGAAGGAACCCCGAAACAAAACACCTACAGGGAACCCTAAAAGGAACCCCTATGGTGACAAACCCTAAACCCTAAAACCCTCAACCCTAAACCCTAAATCCTAAAGCCCTTAACCCTTAACCCTAAACCCTAAAACCCCTAAACCCTAAACCCTGAACCCTAAACCTTATACACCCTAAACCCCAANNAAACCCTTAAAAGGAACCCTAAACCCCCCTTAAAAGGTGCCCTTTCAAGGGATCCAACTCCTCTCGTGCCCGTGACGACCAGCTGGGCGGGCCCTTGGGCGAAGAAGGCGCCCAACCCGGCCGAGAGCGCCTTCGTTTGGGTTCCTTTAAGGAGACTTCAAGGGTTCCCTAAACCCTAAAC